TAGCTTTTGGTCTTGGAATATGCTTAAATCAAATCTCAATCTGAGAGAAGGAATCCTTTACAGATGTTTATTCCATATTTGAATAAAATGAGTTGGTTGACAGACTTGTAATCAACAATAACTTTGTGGAGATTCACAAATATTTTCTGAAATGTCCTTTGTGTCTTACTTTTCCTTTTATTTGTGTTGTAGGGCTCCGCTGGAAGGAAAGGAGCAAGGGGTCTGAATGGAGCTCCTGGTGCTGAAGTAAGAGTCACATTAGATGGTTTACAGATTTACAGCATTTATTTAAGTGTTTACAAGAAAATCATTTAACTATTGATGTTGAAAAAGGAGACTCTGCATACTTTTACTCACCTAGGAGACATTTATCTATATAAATTGCTAATAAGTTTGCAAATCAGAAACTCCTCAATGTAGCTACTTAGAAATAATTGAGAAAGGTAACTCTCACCTTGCCTGAAGTAAATTTGTACAAATCATCTCTAAAAAGCTGAAACAAAAGGTACTTGTTGTCTTTTTTTGTAGAATTAAGCCTAAATTGACTTTTCCTGTTTCAAAAGCATATTTCCATGTAATAATACTTTCCACTCTGTCAAAAAGCCTGCCTGTCTGGTTCCTTAGTACAAATGTAATTATGGAGCCAACAGCTAGACTCTATAATGAATGACAACCTTATTGAGCCCACCATCACTTTGCTTAATTACTGTCTGATACCATAACATTTGTAAAATTACACCATGAAAACCGTCATCAAACTTTTCATTTTAGATCTTGCTTAGTGGCACTTCAGCAACACAGTGCTCTGGTACAAAAACACATTTTGGGTGCTGGTCTGTCTTACCAATAAATCAAACACAAATTGACTTTTTCCACTAAAGCATGGAATGAGATCCTGTAGCATAGTGTTTCCCAACCTTCTTTGACTTGCAACAACTATTGAACAGTTCTCGTTTGACTCAGTATTGGAATCAGTTTTGAAAGAATTAGACTTGGGTTTTTTCGTTGAAATGTCAGCAGGATGAGGCTCTACACTCATGCATTTTTGAGAAGGACGTATTCGCCGTTTTACTGACAGGCTGTTTGTTTACACTCCCACACCAGCTTTCTGTCGCGTGTACTATTGGCACAGACAGAGGCCAATAGGCAAAGACAACGGGTTGTTCTCATCAACAATCTTACGATGTCTCATTCATCGGGGCCAGACTAAATTACAAATTTCATCTCACACTTAGTCTGGTTTATCAGGCTACACAAAAGCTGGATCGCAAATAATTTGCAGTATATTGCCCAACATATGAAGATCTCACTTCACAACATCCATGTATACATTCTTAGCCAAAAAAAAAAAACAGTCTATTTTGGGGTAATGACATGACTGAAATAAATATAAAAAGAAATAAAAGTTGTCCTTCTCCTGATCTGGTTTATGACAACTGTGTTCATTTGTGTTGTGGAACCTGCTGGAAAAACAGTATCCATATTGAGTACCTGAATAAAAAGGAATAAATAAATAAATCAATAGATTTATTAAATCAGTTCCCTGGCATATGCAGAAGCCTTTGTATAGGCTGCAATCTTTTTTCTTGAAAAACCCAAATATCCAGAATGCTAAAAAACAACTGGAAGTCAGAAATGATGTTCCGTCACAGTTTATATATTTGACTCAGCATCATCCAAAGATACTGTTAATCCAAAATAGCCTTTTGCTTGAGATATTGAAAATTGTATTGAACAGTTTTAAAGCAAGGGCTATTAGATAAAAAGAGATATCAATAATGAGAAATAATGCACTTTTTGTGACACAGTCTTGCAAAAGCCATGAACCTGAAATTACTTCAAAGGATGATATCATTCTCCAGGGCCCAGCTGGTATACCAGGACTTAGGGGACTTAAGGGTTATCCTGGGCCAGATGGCCCGCCGGGACTGATGGGGTTACAAGGCCTACCAGGAAAACAAGGAAAACAGGTAACAGAGGCATTTTTTAAAATCTTTTTTTATCTGGTTTTGCACTGTATGTGTTTTAGATTTCAGAACAACTGCAACCTGAGAGGACTCATAGCAAAGTTGCTCGCATTTAGGCATATTTATCTGCATGTTTTTATACAGTGTGCGAAATACCTGTCAATATTTGGGGGGGTCCCCATCTCCCGATTGTTGCTCAATACCGATCTAAATTTTCTCAACAT